ACGTGGCTCTTTGGTGCGCTGGCCTAACTCGAAGGGCAAGGAAGATTCGTTGTCAACTCCAAGAGGCACTCGATGCAATCTGCATTGCCATCGAAAAACTCGGACTGACACTTTCCCTTGAGAAAACAGCAGCGCTGCTTTACAGTCCGAGAGGACGCCCCCCCGAACGAGCGCTGCAATTCGAGATGGCTGGGATGCCAGTCAAGAGAGTGAGGACACATAGATATCTTGGATTGTTGTTGGATGATCGAGTAACCTGGAGACCGGAAGTCCGCAAAGTTCTCTCCAAGTGCCGCAACCTTCTCAGAGTTCCGCGGTGCCTCCGCGGCCATGCCTGGGGAACACCACAGCACGCCCTCCTTCAGTTAGATAAAGGTTTAATCCTTTCCCGCCTACAATATACGTTGCCACTTCTCAAAATCGGACCAGCACAACAACGTGATGTTGAAACATTTCACCGTGTGGCACTAAGGATGTGCGTCGGACTGCCGCGATACGCGGGAAACGTTGCCACACTCGTTGCTGCCGAAGAATGGCCTGTTTTTCTCCGGGTTGACGTGATGTGTCCTCTGGGAGTTCACTACTCTCACACGTCGTTGACCGCCCCAACTCCCGCTTTGGCTATTTGGCTAGACAGTTCGAAGATCTTATAGGACCACCCGGACATATCCCTTCACCCCCGCAGCCCCATCTACAAGTACCACTGACGATAAGTGAAACTCTCCCTTACATGCATAGCAAGGCGAATGTTTCTGGGACAATTTCTCGCCTTTTGACCCAGGAATTACTCTACACAGAGTATATTGGATGGCTGCAAGTATACACCGACGGCTCCACTAGTCCTGCGACAGGAACTACCACGACAGCAGTCTTCATCCCAACTCACAACGTCTGCATTGCAGACAGACTAAACGTCGCCACAACCTCTACTACTGCGGAGCTGGTGGCCATTTGCCGGGCTTTGGAGCTCCTAGTGCGAAGTGGAACGCCAGGGAGAGCAGTCATCCTCACAGATTCGAAATCTGCTCTTCATCTTCTCCGGAACCCCGAGACTGGCACTCCATTGACTGCATCAACTGTAGCATCTGCCAGGTAGGCTGAAAGAAAGGGTTGGCAACTTGCTTTTCAGAGGTGTCCTGCGCACACTGGAATTGCCGGAAATGAGAAGGCGGATGCCCTCGCTACTGAAGCCTATGGACTTGAGACCCCAACCATTTCTCTTCGCCGGTACAACGAGGCATGGCGATTTATACGAAATTTCTACCAGAAGCGCCACCCACTCCGAGAGACGGCTGAAGGACGGCCCCCTCCAGCAATCCCGCGCAAGCTGTCAAGAGAACAAGCGTCAATGTTACATCGGCTGAGGGCAAACTGCGCAAACACAAGGTCAACTCTGCACAAGCTTCAACGAGTCAATAGTCCTGATTGCTTACACTGTGCAGCCCTAGAGGACATTGAACACGTGCTACTAGTATGCACAGAATACGAAGAGCGTAAAACCTTGTTTGAACGCTACACTTTCAATGGACTTCCTTCCTCCAACACTCGGGAACTCCTCGTCCCAGAAGTCCCACGTCGGCTTGTCCAGAGGGCTTACAAAGACCTCTTGGATTTTTTGAGTGAGACTGGTTTGGCAGACCGTCTTTGATCAAATACCAGACACCGCAAGCAGCAAGGTTGTTAAATTGAAACCCACACTCGTGCCAACGCCCCAACCCACACTCGTGCCAAAGCCCCATCACATTATTGGACTGGTTTCCAAATTTCCACACTATCTCTTTTAGCCACCTACGGCTCCTCCCCCTTCCCCAAGCCGAGTAGCGACTCGCCCCGTACAGGAGGCCAACATCTCTCCCGGCTTTCCCTTTCCTTCTCTGGACCTTACAACAAGAAGAAGAAGAAGACGCGTTTCCAGATTTCGGTTTCTTATCGGAGCGCATGTACGCGCCCGCAATCCTGCTCCCCGGTGGTCGCGGCGTGAAGCCGCCTCCTCGCCTCCCTCGTAGAATGGAGGGAAGTACGGCGCACGTGAGTTGCGCGTCTCAGCCACTGGGAAGCAGTCTGGCAACTCCGGCTGCCTGACCACTACAAAGTTATCTCGATCGCCAAACTGAATCGTGACGACATTTTGACGTCACCGCTAACTTCATTATTTCACCAGCATAGCTCGAACTCCATTGGAATCCATAGGGAAAAACTCAATCGCAACGTCACATCACGTGACCAAAAGGGCAGCCAATCAGCGACCGATTGAGTTAAGTTTATCGTTGAGTTTGCGATCTAGCATAGACAGACAGGACCGCGGGCGCGGTGATGTGCTCCGATAAGAAACCCCAATCTAGAAACGCGTCCAAATAGAGCGTTTTTACAGAAGGCTGTAAAATGCTTCCCCGGCGTTATATCCTTCCGAAAATGGTTGATTTAGTGGTTTGCGATGATGCTTTACAAGTTTCTAATTAAAACCATATGTCTATTTCCACTAATTAAAAAGTTAATTAACGAATTTTAATTAATTAGCCGACTTATTGCAAAGATTAGACACCCTCATAATGTCCGCCTGGCCGTATAACCTACCTGCACAAACCGCAGTAGTGTAGTGTAGCTTTCAAGATTTTTTTAAACAAATGTGTAAGAATAAAAAAAATATATATATTTTTATGATGTGCTGAACTTGAATCATTTTAGAAATTTCCGCCATGAGTTAATTTATTCCTCAATGTGGAAAAACAATAAATACATTATTTTGTATTCTGCAGATGGTAATGATATGTACTGTCCGTGGTGTTAATTAAAATGCGATACCTCGAACAATTTAGACGAAAAAAATTACCACGTTTAGGGCATAATTGCTCGTAAATACGTGTTTGGATATTTCTTCAAAACTCGTCTTGAACAACGATAATCATATCTTAAGGCGACACTTACCTGGGACTAACGTAGTGATGCAGGCGAGTTGATTATGCATATTGAAGAGTTGTGAAAGCGCACCCTAAAGAAGAATGCGAAGACCTCTTTGCCTCTCAGTCTTTGTGTTCGTCCTTATTGTGCACTTTCATTACTTTTCAACTTACCTAGGCTATACATAGATCATTCTTGTTTAGAAAATTTTATTTACAACAGTGGTGTCATGCCCATAACAAAACCAAAACCCGAGAACGCGCTATGTACAGTATATAGTCTTTCAAGCTAGCCAACCCCGGTTCTTGGTTGGTTCTTCAGTGGCACCGGTTTTGTGTGACATTTATCTTTCTGCCATGGACAAGCACATATCGAGGAATCTTGACGGGATGAACGTGGTCAAGATCTTCCGCTATGTGGATGATTGTTTTGGTTATTTTGGGGGAATGTACAGAGAATTGTACATTCTCTTACAGGATATTAAACGAGAGGGTGTTGACAAAAGTCGTGAAAAGACAGACAAGATGCCAGTGCAGGTGATACCATATTTGCACAAAGTGTCCCACAATTTAAAAAAGATGGCTGTTAGACACAGGGTTAACGTCGTCTTCTCAGCCCCGTGCAAACTTTCAAAGATATGCCCCGCGATGACTAAACGAAAGTCTTTAGTGTGCTCAAAGAAACATGTAACAAGATACACCGAATGCGTGACTAAGGTGGTGTATGAAATTCCTTTCAGTTGCGGCCAAGTTTACATCGGTCAGACCGGCCGATGTTTTAATGAAAGAGCGCGCGAACATAAGCTTGCCGTACGCAATAATTCGGGTCGGCATCTTGCGGAGCACTGCAAACGATGTGGGTGCGAACCTTTGATTGAGCGCACAAGGTTTATCAAGAAAGGGAATGAAAAAAATGGAAAGAGAACTAATCGAGGCTTTCTGTACACACAAAGCGGCTGACAGATGCGTAAGCATGCCATCTCTTTATCTGTTAACCAAAGAAATTGTGTTTCTTGAAGGATGTGTGTAATGAGAGATAGCATTTTTTATCAGTTGCATGTGTTTAGGCGATTGGGATCGAGTTTGACGATGATTCGTGTTTTAATAAATCAGTTGGAAGTTGGCGCCTGTCCGTGTCGTACGTGTCTCTTTTTTCGTCCTGTTTGTTCGCGCCTTTTAACCTTTTAATCATTCTTAGAAAGTTTAACATCTCCACCATAAATAGGTTCGGCTATAGCGCGCTTCAAATATCGCACAAACGACAATTGTCAAAACCCCGTCGTCCTTCCTTGCTCCTTCGGGAATGTATATCTTTAAGACCAAGTATGCCAGATGATTGATATAAACGGCATGGTCTTTCGCAAGGAATGCAACACCGCATGTAAAAATGCGAAATAAAAATTACGAATGTACCTTACTGCTTGAATCCAAATGAAACCGCCTGCCGGTCTGTTTCGACCGGCGGGCGGTTTCGGTTGATGAGAAGTCAAAAATCCGACGCCGGAGGTCGTCGAATTTTTGACTTTTCAGGAATCGAAAGTTCGATAATTTTTTAATTCTTTGGGTTATTAACTTTTAAAGCTCGAAAATGATCGAATTTTTGAGCGTAGGAAGTTCGAAAGATCGAAATGCTTCGACCTTTTTAGTCCAAGAAGTGCGAAAGTTCGAAAATCATCGCATTTTTTAGTCTACCAAGGCCGAAAGTTTGACAAGAATCGAATTTTGCAGCGTAATAAGTTCGAAATTTCGAAAAGTGTCGAACTTCTTAGCTTGAATTCGAAAATTCAACTTTCGTGAAATTTCTCGATATGGAAAGTTCGAAAATTCAAAATCTTTCGAAACTTTCGAACCGCTTGATTCGATCATAGAACCTTCGGTTCGAAAAAAGTTCGCGGCATCCCTAGTTAAGATGTCCTTTGTCTTTTTCCAAGTCACAGGGCTTTGTCTTAAATTATGTTAAACCTGCACCAACTCGTTTGCGCCTTAACGTTTTGTTATTCCCCCCCCCCCCCCCCCCCCCTTTTTTTTTTAAGGTTTTTTCTTGTACAGTTCTTGTTTCGTTATGATTTCGCTTCTTCAAACCTCGGAATGGGCGCCGCATACCTCTTGTCCTCGTACTCGACCTTGGCGTACTCCAACAGGTCCCGGATGGACTGTGCGAGGCCCCTAAAGTCCCAGTATCCGAGTACGGGCGCCATGACCCTCGCTGCTGGTCCTCAATGCTGGCTACTTCAACCAACCTCGGCCGACTCACACTAGAAACTCCTACGAGCAATCTGATCGCCGCTTCAGCACCCGATAAACGCGAATAAAAAAGATACGCCCCCGCCCCCCTACCCCCTACCCCGAAAGATAAAGACGATAGCAGAGCGTCCCTTGCCGGCGAAAGGTCACTTGCTCGCCGTTCGTCGAGCGACAATGACACCTGTGCCTCAGAACGCGCCCAAATTCTGTCGGAGATCCTCTCCACATTCCTAATGATTGAATTGCGTTCTTCGAGCCGTCCAGAATCTGGTTACACCGCTGCCTCGTGAGGATTCTGAATACCAAGAGTTGTAGCTCGCATTCAGTAATGATGGCAAATGACGGAAAACCCTTTAATAGTTTTTACCAATGTGATTTTAGTGCTCAGGTCTGTGGGTGGGAGGAGCACCTTGCCTCTCTTTGTCTTCGAGTTGATGGACGCTTGTACAGGTTCACCGATTCACGACTGCCATTTCGTTCGTATAGCCATTTTAACTATCTCTTTGACTGGGATATCTGCCATCACTGCGACAGCAAATTGTTTTAATATTCACAATAAAAAGAAAATAAGAAAGCAAGAAAGGCTTTTTTTTTTTTTTTAGTATGATCGTTTGCCACCTTGGCGGCTCGCCAACTTTTATAAATACAAAATGCGTTTATGGGCTGGATTTTATGTAAAACGTGTCTCACTCGAATGTGACGAATAAGCCAAGCCAAGGCAATATAAAGCGTGCAGAACCTTTAGCAGGCAATAAGTAAGCATGCAATCTTAAGGCTGCTTCACAGATTTGCATGACTCCGACCGAGTCCGACTGGCAACGGCTCGCGACGTTATTCTTTTTATGGATTGCTTTGGCAACGGGGCGGTCGTAAGCGGAAGTTAAAACCCCGTCGCCATAGCTACCCGTAAGAGGATTAACGCCGCAAGTCGTTGCAGCCGCAAGCGGTCGGACTCGGGGAAGTTTGTGAATCGCTCTTAAATACTTCTTCGTCAAGCTAATTCGCACATTATTAAAACTAGGTCCCCTTGACCGCAACTAGCGAGATTTACCAAAAGGCTCAGCGGGAATCAGACCTCGAACCATCCGATCAGCAGTCCAACGTCTTCGGTAAGCCCAACATGGAGCTGCTTCTTTTCGGCACGGCACTACAAGGAACAGGTGAAAGAGGGACGGCTTAGGACTTGCCTCCGACGTCCGCATGCAGTAAATGACGGCGGGTGACATCTAGTTCAGCGTACTTCGTACACAGGCGACCATTGGCGGCGAGTTATAATAAGTCCAACATACTTCGTCCACAGGCAACCGTCGGCGGCGAGTCATATTAGGATAACAAGTTAAAAAAAGCGCGAACAAACGGGGACAGCGAAGAAACACGGACAGGACAAGTGCTTCAATCTCAACTGGTTGTTATTCTTTTATTTTTTTTTATTTGCTATTTTGGTTTATCGAGCGACAGAGATGTTATCTAGGGCTTATTTGCCCCCGCTTGCTACTCTGTTTCTGTTAAGGCCGGTTCACACATACAGCGGAGCGCTAAGTTAGCGCTACGTGAGCGCTCCAAGGAGCGCTCATGTGGCGCTTCCTCCCATACAAAAATGTCCTATGGTCGGCTATAGAAAATTCTTTGTATGGTCGGCTTTAGCTATTTGGCCCAATTAGCTAAAGAATTTTCTATGGCTGTCTTTAGCATTTCTTATGGTCGCCTTTATGGGGCTCTTTAGCTTTGTCTATGGCCCTATCGCTGTCCAGCCATAGCGCTCTTTAGCTTTTCTAATGGTTGGCTAAAGACTCCTTTATGGCTTATCCTATGGCTCTCTTTAGCCAGCAAACTCTAAAAAATTTACTTCAAGTTCCCCAAACTTGTGAACGCTACATGGTAGATATACATACATCTCTGAACACACAGAGTACACACAACACAAGCAGAGCACTACCCCACAGAACAGCAACAACGCAGCAACACCGGACTGCCATTTATACATTTAGTACGAACGTATGCTATGTTCGCACTAGCTGTATATATAGCAGTCTAATTTTTGAATCCGACTTTCCCGGTGACCCATCATTTGTCTCAAAAACACGGAGAGGCGGAGCAAATATCACTCGTACTTAATACATTATTTGAATTGTCTCTTGGAATAGCCCCCATCTCTTAATTCGACACCCTGAAAAAAGCAAATGTAGATCATTAGGCTAATTAACTAAAATTCATTGATTATCTTTTTAATAAGTTTGATGAATCACGTTGACAATGCAGTGATGACATGCAGTACACTGGTGCTGAAGATTGCAATCAAGCTATTGCTTGGTTGCAGTGTTCGGCGCCATTGTAATTTATTTTCACTTTTGGGGGGTAATAATTAATTTTAATTGTGGCACAAATATTTTAATGGCTTTTTCAAACAAACGATATTACTAATTTTCCCGACTCGTTGCAACAGCAGAGAACATATCTTGGGGTTTGTCACCTCCATTACAAAAATTTAGTATTGATTTAATATTCTAACGTGGAGTGTTTTTACTAAAAAGTAAGCACCGGTAGTGATTTTCTATAGGCGTGGAAAGAAAATGTATTGGTTCTTGGCCTTTAGACTCGGGGCCATAAATTTTTCTATAGACGAGTAAAGACAAATAATTGGTTTCCAGTATTTAAACTCGGGGCCAAAGGATTTTTTATAGGCGGATAAAAAACATTTCTTGGTTCGCTGTCTTTAGAAAAGGGCCATATAATATTCTATAGGCGTCTAAAGCAATTTTATTGGTTCCCAGTCTTTAGACTCTGGGCCATAAAATTTTCTATAGAGGGTTAAAGACAATTTATTGGTTCCCAGTCTTTAGACTTGTGTCCATAGAATTATCTATAAGCGGGTAAAGAAAATGTATTGGTTCCCAGTCTTTAGACACAGGGCCATAGAGTTTTCTATAGCTGGCTGTAGATGTCTTTATAAATTTCTATGGCCGACCATAGAGGGCCATAGGGGGTGATAAACAGCCATATGAATTTCCATAGACAACCATAGACCATTTTTGTATGGGCTGGCGCGTCATGTAGCGCACTGTTAGCACTTCAGAAGCGCTTTGTTAGCGCTCTGTTAGCGCTACAGAAGCGCTCTGTTAGCGCTCTCACGCCCCTTGTGCCGTGCTTGTTGCTGCGGAATAGCGCGTGCACGGCGATTCCTTGGATGTTGTTTTTCCTTTGGCATTGAAAGAAGAGGAAGTAAAAGAGCCGCTCTCTAAGCAGAGGGTCGGGCAGGGGACCCAGAGTCACGGACTCTGAGCGACTAATTGATTGGGTACGACCTCAGCTTTCCATTCGATATGTGTGACGCTGGTTTTAAGGACACACAGGTAAAAATAATCGCCTTCGAAAGAGCTCTGTCTCGGTCCCTCAGCCTGCGAACAAGGTTCGCCGGATATCCGTCGGTATCTCGGTGGCGAAAGATTTCGCGCACCCAGAAGGCTCTTCTGGGAGTTAAGCCGTCCACACAGATATGCACGAATCGCGTATGTAAGAGCATTTGTCGCATTTCTATTTCAGCATCCCACATGTCCGCCATGGTGCTGCTGATGCACACCCAACCACAGGAACCGAAACCGCAGTGCACCTGCTAATCCGCAGCAGCGCGGTACAAGAAGCGCTACTGAAGCGCTAACAAAGCGCTACTGGAGCGCTAACAAAGCGCTACTGAAGCGCTAACACGGCGCTACTGAAGCGCTACAGGAGCGCTAACAAGGCGCTACTAAAGCGCAAACCACGCGCTATATTAGAACGAAGTCACGCGCTGGAAGCGCCACATGAGCGCTCCTTGGAGCGCTCACGTAGCGCTAACTTAGCGCTCCGCTGTATGTGTGAACAGGCCTTTATAGGTGGCGACCTTCTTGAGCGTCCTTCTGCGTCTTCAGTGTTTGCAGCAAACCAGTTGATTCTAAGTAATCCATCAGTATTTTAAACGCCCGTGCTTGGTTTCGAGTGTTGGTGCAGGGTCCTAGCACCTTTCGCATGGTCATTGGTTGGTCATCCAGAAGATTCAGTTCCTTAGTGAGGATCACACGCTCTTTCTCGTATCGTTTGCAGCTAACGAGTACATGTTCGATTGTGTCCTCGGTATGGCAAGTCAGGCAGTTTGGGGAATCTCGCTGCTTGTACTTGTAGCGTTGGCGGCCAGTCCGGGCGACCCCAAGGCGAAGTTTGAAATAAACTGAAAGTTGGTTTCGAGGTGTGCTCCAAGGGATTCTTCTTTGAAGCTTGGGGTCCAAGTTGTACAGGTGATAAGGGTGGCCCCCAGGTTGCTGCCAGATTTTTACCGTTATCTCGTTTGCGACACCAAAGAGAACGCTCTTCACATCAGCTTTCGCAACGGGAATGGCCTTTGTTCTTTCATTTTTGTGCGCCCGAGCTGCTGTCATATCGGCTATCTCGTTGCCAGTGACGCCAACATGTCCTGGGACCCATTGATATGTAATGGCATAACCCTTTTTGTACAGGGTGTCGTTCTTATCGAGTATAGCCTGTTGCAGGCCCGGGTATGCGCACTTTTTGGCTGTGGTTGATAGGGATGCCAACGCCGATTTTGAGTCCGTGCACACCACATAGCTCTTCGGAGAAGTTGCCTCTATGTAGTGTAACGCTTGCAAGATGCCGTGGAGCTCGGATGCCGTGGACGATGTACGGTGGGAGAGTTTGTACCCTTTCGAAATGCTCGCATCCGGCACGTAGATTGCAGAGGACGAGCTCATCGCGGTGCTTGATCCATCTGTGTATACCTGGATGGCGTTCTTGTAGTTCTCTTCAATGTAATATTGAGTGAGGAGCCGCTTCACAAAACCGAAGGCTGCGCCTTTGCCTACGTCCGGTATTGAGAGGTGGACCGTTGGGGTCAGCCATGTCCAAGGAGCTCGCTGGGGGTGACGATACGGTGCAGCGTTCGCCGGAAAGGCTTCGACGTGGTTTCTTACCACTTCTGCAAAACTCGACGCTGGACGTGAGGTGTGCAGGCCCGCCAGATGATGCGCTTCGTGCTGGGTTGAAAAACAACTCTAGTGCCGGATTGTCTCTTGAACACGGAGCGCCTCTATACGTTGTTCGTGCGCTTCTGCTATAACTCCTG